CAATCCTGTTTCACTCCATCCTATTCCAGACTGAGATTGCCATTTCCAGCTTTGTGGCCAGTTCTCACTGTGGATCTCATGATAACTGGAATTGAAATTATAACAGGACAAGTTATATAAGGCTTTGACCCTGAGATGGGGACGGTGCTTTTTGGTGGGGTTATTAATGTTTAATTGCTGTGGCTTAATTTATGTTGGTGCATTTGGGTCATACAGACTCTGTGAGCTACATGTCATGTCGTGGTGTAAAACTCAATGATAATCATACACTGATACAATCTCAACAGTAAACATTAGCAATGCTAAAATGTTTATTTTAGCATATTTTAGCATATTTTTAATATTCTAGTAAAATTAGTAAAATTCTAGCAAATTTTCATATTACCTCATTCCCAAAACCAGTATAATTTCCCACTGAGCTGTGCTGATTCTGTTGAGTAGCTGTTTAATACAGCAAAGCCAGCATGTGGTTGAAGCAGTTGGTTGGCATGCTGATTATCAGAGGTTTCGCGACTGGGTCAGGAAAGCCCTGTGATATCTGCATGACTCAAACTCCTACCTTTTAGTTTCCTTTGGCTCTGCAGAATGGTTTAATTTTTTACTTGGTCACACTGGATCATTTTGTAGATCACCCGTAATACAAATTGAGTTGGAACTGTGATCCATTTAAGTAAATGACCAACAATATACTGGTAATTATTAGTAAACTATAAATACTATAAACTGTACAATAGTTTTTGTCAAGTTATCTGCCTTGAGATTCGATCACCACTTTTGTAATATGATAATATAAATTTCAAATAATATTTATTATAATACATCAGACATTTTCAATGTTGTACTCTATCATTTCGTCTTTCTGGACACGTATAACATTTATTTTTATGTACAGCTTCGTAGTGTCCTAACAATTATGTGAAACATGTCAAGTTGCACATAGCTAACATATTAACCCTTGTGTTATGTACAGGATAAAATGAGACGCGCATTAGACGGAAATTGGAGCTGAATTAGTGTAGGTTCTGCTCTTTTGTCCTGTTTTCAGTGCAGTCTTACTTTTTTGTTATTTTTTGAACCACTACTGATACAATACTGATGAAAAATGCTTGACCAAGAGTTTTATGAATGTGAAAATGGTTAAAAAATGCATCAAGATAGTGTTTAATGTTGATATTCCATCAGAAATGACAATGCAGTAACCTCCCCTCTCTATCACCAATCATAGCAGATTTTGCATCAGAACCAACTGCAAAACCAAAGTCCTGGTTTTTCAAAGGCGCATAATAACTATTAACCACAAATTTTGTTTCTTTTGCAAATAATTGAATAAATAATGAAAATATATGCTAGCTATTTTAAAAGGAAAGGGTATAATCATCCTGGTCATGTAGATGCCATGGGTCAATATGACCCAGGAATAGTACATCCATTATTAAGAAGCACTATTTTATCAGGTTATATATACAATATAGTTACTGTCATATCAAAATCTAATTTTTTCAAAACGCAATCTAGAATACAGCAGATTTCTTGCTTAATCAGCTGATTAGTTGGTGTCCTATATTATTGTTTGTTTTTGTGCAGTGTTAGAGTAAATGGTGCAGGTAAAAGACCTCCTACCCCCAGTGGACAAGGTTAACCTTGGTCCACACACCCTTATCCTTCATATACACTCACAACTCACATACACACACACACACACACACACACACACAGTGTCCTCGGCCCTGTCTCACTTAAGAAGGACGGGTGGACCCTGCACATTGACTATTCTTTCTGCCCGACCTTTGGCTAAATGTGACATGGTTGAGAATGAATGAGTTATCGATATACTGCTGCTTCTCTCCTTGAAACCTCCTTCCACCCCAGCTAGTGCTGGTTTCAGTGGGATCTACCAAAGGCTTTCTGGTTGCGTGTATGTTGATATCACCAAATTAATTCCACATTTGTCATTATTACTTATTGCAAGAAAAAATAAAGCCGCACTTTGTCTTCAAGGTCTAGTAATCTAGATTAGCTTTTGCTAAGTGAATGAATACAAATGTAAAGCTGAATTAGCTTTTTTTAAAAAAAGAACATGGCTGACTGACTGAATGAATGAATGAATATCACAATGCAGTCTTAAAAACAATGTTCTTCACCATGTATTCTAAAATATGTTGTCAGTTTAAAGTGTGCTCTTAAGCAGCTTTACTTACCACCTCATTAAAAATAGCTTTAGAGCTCCTGTATCACTCTCATTGTTCTAGAGAAATGCTGACCTAGATCTTTCCTCATGTTGATATCTCAATGAATGTTGAGTGTATGCATCTTTCTAAATGACTTAAAACTGTTTTTGGGCCTTTTTTCTGTACCATCTTTCAAGTTTCCAAATGCCTTTAATCTTCCAAAATGCTAATTATTTTCTGGTTCTGCCAACACCTGATCCAATTAACTAAGGGCTCAATTATCATCTGCATTTTTTTTTTTTTTTGCAGGTGCTTTTCTGAACATGATCCAATCATAGGAAGGAGCAGATTTGGATCCTGAATATGAAGAGAAAACCTGTGCAAGGTTGTTCCAGTCTAGTCCTCAGGGACCCATAGCCAGTTCATCTTTTGGTTTTGTTCCAGCTCCAAAAACACCTGAGCCGGGTAATCAGAGCTCTACAGCGTTTTGTTATCTGGGTCAAAGTGAGTTGGGACTGAGACTAGTCAAGGATCTTTAAGAAGCTAATTTAGCAGTTCTTTAAAAGACATGCAAAGTCAGATAAATGTGGTAAATAACAATGCAGTGAAATTAGATTATTGTTGTTGTATATTCTAGCAGACCATGACTAATATTGGGCAAGAAAAGACAGTTCACCCAACACGTCAATGTTGCTAATTGTCCTGTTGGAGAAACAGTTTGCCTAAAAATGCTAACGTTGCTTATATTGAAGGAATACTTCACCTTCAGAGTTGCTAATAATGAAGGAGAGCTAGTGGGGCCAGCTGGAGATTGTTCTAGGCTCATTAAAGAGTTTTAGAGTTACAATGACCTACATTTTATGATGGGCCAGTGCATTAGGATTAAGATGACTGATTGGATATGTGAACGTGTTTAAGTACTGAGATTTTTAAAGATGGACTGGGGTGTGTATCTGAATTTTGAAATGTGTGCTTTAGGGGTGGGCTCTACGCTAATACGGTTTTGTTATCGGGATAAATTATGACACAGCAGTAACAAGGAGCTGATTGGATGTTATCACATTATGCCATTGGCTTATTGACTTCTAAAAAATCTTTTTACATAGTTTTTATAGCCTTTTTAAACCTCACAACTCCGCTGGTACATTTTGTCTATTACGAACCTCAGAAGAAATAAACACAGGGTGATTCAAAAAGATTAATCTGATTTCAAAGTGCCATATTTTTACAACCTAGGAACCAATCACATACCAATTGAAAGTGGGGGTCATAGAGTTTCTGACTGTCAGTAATGCAGTGAACCTCTAGCAGCTCAGACTATTCGTTGCTGGTACCAACAGTTCCAAGAAAAAGGTCACGTTTTTTGGGGGTATGTTAAGGATTCTGTTTATGTGCCACTCCCAACAACACTGGATGATCTCTGAAATCACACTGAAAGAGCTGTGAGTACGGCGAAACCCGAAATGCTCCATTGAGTATGGGATGAATTTGACTATCATCCTGATGTTCGTACAGCTGGAGGAGGTTCATATTGAGCATCATAAACTTTATGCTCACTTAAACCATTTACAGCTTACTGCATTGTTCTGTAATGAATTACAAGTGAAAAAAAATCATCTTGAAATCGGATGAATCTTTTTGAATCACCCTCTATTTAGAATCCGTTTAGTGTGTTCTTGCTCTCAGTGCTTTTGCATGTTTGAGAAGTGGGACAACGTGATCTCCAAGGTGGCACAACCTTCTCGGGGGTGACCGTCGTTGGGAGGCCACAAGTTCAGTCCTCAAAACGTTGGTGATGTTGCTGTTTTAGCTATATATATCAGGGACATTGACAAGAGCGTTACCATTGCGAGAACGTCGCCATGTGCCAGTCCTACAAAGACATGACTCGGGTTAACACGGTCGCGGTCTTAATGAGTGCTTATGCACTTCTGAAATATTTTAAATATGTTAGCACAGAAGTCCAGAGAGGCTATAAGGTAGTTATAACTTTCTAGACTGTTATCTTGACATAACGAGTTAACTGTCTTGTGATCTCAAGACAACTTTTGTTATCTCGAGATAATAAGATACCTAACTCGTTATTTCAAGATAATTAACTTTTTATCTCAAGATCACAATCCACAAAGTTATAGCAACAGCTTATGGCCTCTCCGGACTTCCATACGTTAGCGTGGCGGGTGCTAACGTAGATGTCAGACGCCACAAGTTGCTCACACCTTCTCTCGCCTCCTGTTTGGAGGACGGAAATCCGGACTACACAGCACTTTACAGAGAAACTTTTCCGTCGATGTTTGTCCAGCAGCAGCGCGCTGTAAATCTACCTAACCGGATCGATTTCAAATCGGCAAACGGATCGATCCATCGATCAGATAAACACTGTCACGCGCTAATCACTGATGGCAAAAAAAAAGCGAGACCCCGCTCCGTCCCCTTTCTTTCCATCTTTCTCGTTCACTCGCTTTCCTCTCTCTGTCTTGCTTTTGCTTCTCTCTCTCTCACTCTCTCTCTCTCTCTCAACGGCCATCAAGCGGCTCGTGACGGAACTGCAGGTGCGCACGCGCTCGCACGAGACAGCGAGCTAGCGCGCGTGTATGTGTGGAAGCGTCCTCAGAACGCGCGCGCGCTCTCGCGTTCTGTGGCTCTTCCGCGCTCAGTACACAGTCTCGCGCTCGCCTCGGCGGCTGAGAAAACAGTCAGAAAAAGAAAAAGAAAAACGGCAGAGAGTTTAACAGCGACGCCGAGCTCTCTGCTTCTCTCTCCCTCTCTCTCTCTCTCTCTCTGTCTCTCTCTCCCCCTCTCTCTCTCTCTCTCTCTCCCTCTCTCTCTCTCTCTCTCTCTCTCCACTTTTCCTCATCTCTCCGTCTCGGCTCGCTTCGCTTCCGTCGGCTCGAGCGACCAAACCGGAGCAGGTAGCTCGCGCGTGTGTCTGCCTTCCTCGTGCGCGACCGTTATTTTTTTGGTGAGGGGCGTGTGTGTGTGTGTGTGTGTGGGGAGGTGGGGGACACCCCGAGGTGACCAGCCTGTGTGATGATGATGGTGTGTGTGTGTGTGTGTGTGTGTGTGTTCGCAGTGTGTTTGGACTAAGAGAGCAGAGCTGCTCGTGGCTGGAGTGAGGAAAGAGGACACACTCCTCTGGATTTCCCGCCGATTTGCTTTCCTCGCGCTTGGGTAAGTCCTGGGGTGATTTTTTCCTGTTTGTAAATCCGTGTTTATCTGTTTCTGTTGTCTTACACATCTTTTTCTCTTGTTTTTGTTTTTAAATTCCAGTCATCGTGGTTCTCCTGCTTTCTGTCCGGATCTGTTGTAAGTACCGTGTTTTCTGTGATTATTTTGGCTGAGTTGTGCTGCTTCGTTAATCATCGCAGTGCTGGTACTTTTATTCGGCCGTTGTGGAAACTGGTAGCTGGGAATGAATGGAAGGAGTGACGGTTAAATGTGGTTCGGAATGGAACGTTGAGCGCGTTTAAAGAAGCCCGCGAGCTCTGCTGCTGCTTGAGGGTCGGTGGAGGAGCGCGAGCCGATAGATGGTCCGGGCAGAGGAGCTCGTGCTGCTGATGAGGAAGATAAAGACTGTGTAGTTTAAACGAGTGACGAGAGAGAGAGACTGATATATGACTGTGTAATAGAAAGTTGATCACTTGCATACATTATATATATATATATATATATATATATATATATATATATATATACACATATATTACAATAGAGAATATATATGCAATTGCTTGTTTTGTCTTTGTTTACCTGTGTTTGTGTGAAGTAGGAAATATTCAATATTCTCTTTTTTGCTGGGGTTTGCTTCTGTCTGTTGTGTGTGTGTGTGTGTGTGTGTGTGTGTGTGTGTGTGTGTGTGTGTGTGTGTGTATGTGTATGGGGGGGTATGTGTGTAGAGTGTGTGAACCATTAGAGTGTTTAGTTTAGCTACTTTTCTGAATGTTTGTGGTCATTCTGACCAGCCTGTTGAGGAAAAGGATGCAGAGTTATTGACCTCATGCCACAGCTGGTTGTAGGATGTGTGTGTGTGTGTGTGTGTGTGTGTGTGTGTGTGTGGACACTAAATTGTTTTGCTTCAAACTTGAGACTCCACGGTCCCCGTGTGGCCTGACACACACACGCACACACACACACACACACACACACACACACAGACACACATGTTCATGACCAAGTTTCTAAGTTTATATTGATGTTTTTTGGCTTGTTCTTTGATGTGGCTAAACCTCAGTGTTTGTACGTATTACATACACACTTGTAGAAAAAAAGGTACTAAATTGTCACTGGGGTGGGAGGGGTACGTCTTCGGTACCTTGGGAACGTAATCGCACTATAATACTCTTTTTTTTTTGAAGATTTTTCAGAGTTGTCTTTGGCTTTTTATTTTTCTATTTTATATATTTTAGAATATGGAAAAAAAAATACCTTTGCTGTACTGTACTGTACCTTTAACCCATATTTAAGGTACACATTTGTACTTTAAGACCACTGTTGTACCTTTTAGGGTACATTTACATTGTTTATACCAGGGTGAACAAACAGTGTACCTGCACAGGTCTCCTTTTATTCTGGCAGAGTAATTATTTTTATGTACAGTGGGAACTTACATGCATATACGCATATAAACACATGCACAAGTGCTCATGGACTTACTCAGAAACACACACACTCACAGTTGCACACATATACATGCACGTACATACATGTTTTCTCCCTCAACACATGCACCAGTGGCGGCTTGTGATCGTGTCAAGCACTATAACGGACAAAATAGGCAAAGTGGGTATGAGGACATTGAGGCCCATCAAATATAGAGACAGACAAAGGAAATGAGTGAATTGTGAATGAGTTCCGATTACGAGTTTAGTTTTGATTCCATTTGTCTTTGTTTTGACGTAGTTTTTTCCATGTTATTTCTGTAACACAGCGCTTAATTGCTTGGACGAGCTGCCACTGTTGTGCACGCAATACACACATAACCACACACATACAGGATGGTGCGGTGTGTAGTGTTGTTCACTGTGTGTGTTGATTGACAGGTGTTCATGAGGGATGTTTTCTAAGCTCAAGCAGGTAGTGTTGATGACGCTGTTGGTATGTAAACAGGTTTTAAAGCAGATGAAATATCCAGTGCTCACACTTGCAAATCTCTCTGTCTGGACACACACACACACACACACTCACACACACACACACACATACACATTGTTCTGCATATCAAAAAGTTACACACTGCGCTGAAATCTATGTGTTGTACTGAACACTGCAAAGATGTGATTGTATGCATTCGTACATTAATTTTTGCTGCTGCTGGTTTCCTCATGTAAAACATAGTTAATAACTTCATTACTTATTTGTGATTTTTAATGTATTTATTTATTTAGATATATTTAATAATGTGTTTATGTATTGTTTCCATGTATTCTTGTTGTGGCTTTATGCAGTACTGCACGGCATGAACCATGAATGGCTGCGTGAATTTGGGAGGTCACTTTCTCTCCTTTTTTCAGTGTAATAAGCTCAGAAAGAAGAGGTGAGATCTTGAAAAAGATGATACGAGGCCAGGGAATGAGGTTTTAAATTAGCTAATTTGTATATTGGAGTGTAACATGGAATTATACAGTTGTTACAGCTGAGGTTAAAGTGGTGACTCAGGAAAAGCAAATCATGGAAGAAGTGACCAATTTGCTTTGATGAGTACAAGTGTAAATGTACTTGAGAAAAGCTGCTGGTTCTACTCGGACACAGATACAGACTGTCTGGAAATCCAGACACTGTCTGTAATGCAATGGCAGTGCTGCGTGGTGAAGTGAAGTCTGCACTGTACATGAGAAATGTTCAGAATCACAATCGAAATCATTTTAGTTGACAAGTATTTGTTTTGAATTGGTGCCACTGTGTGTGTGTGTGTGTGTATATGTGTGTGTGCGTGTCTATACACTCACCGAACACTACACTAATACTGACTAGGGCCCACTTTTACTCTGAAAACAGCCCCAATTCTTTGTGTCATAGATTCCACAAGATGTTGGAATGAGATTCTGGTCCATGCTGATATGATTGCATCATGCAGTTCCTGCAGATTTTTCAGGTGCACTTTTATGCTGGTCCTGTTCTACCATGTCCTATGTTCGTGTTCTTTTGGATTCAGATCCAGAAACTGGGAAGGCCACTGAAGAACACTGAACTCATTGTCATGTTCATGAAACCAGTTTGAGACACTTTTGCTTTGTGTCGTAATGCATTATCATGCTACAAATAGCCATTAGAAGATTTGTAAATTGTGGCCATGAAGGGTTGAACCCATAGTCATAGAAGGGCCAGCAGCAATAGTCAAATAGGCTGTGGCATTCAAGCAATGATTGATTGGTATGAACAGGCCCAAAGTGTGCCAAGATAACATTCCCCACAGCAATATGCCTCATCCACCAATCTGGACTGTTGACACAAGGCAGTTTGGGTCCATGGATTCATGCTGTTGGTGCTAAATTCTGACCCTGCCATCTGTGTGCTTCAGCAGAATCGAAATTCATCAGACCAGGCTACGTTTTTATAGCCTTCAGCTGTCCAGTTTTGGTGAGTTTGCGCCCGCTGCAGCATCAGCTTTGTGCTCTTGGCCATCTCAGTATTCTGCTGTTGTAGCCCATCCACCTCAAGGTTTGAGGGGTTGTGCATTCTAAGATGCTTGTCTGCTCACCACAGTTGTACAAAGTCTCATTTGTGCTGAGTTACTGTAGCCTTTCCGTCAGCTGGAGCCAGTCCGGCCATTCTCTGTTCACTTGCTTATCAACAAGGTGTTTCTGTTTGAAGAAACTTTGCTCACTGGATGTTTTGTTACTGCACCATTCGGAGGAAATTCTAGAGCCTGTTGTGCATGAAAATGCCAGCAGATCAGCCGTTATAGAAACACTCAATACTCTGGCATCAATAATCATACCACAGTCAAAATCACTGAGATCACATTTTTCCCCATTCTCATGGATGATGTGAATTACCTGAAGCTGCTGTCTCTTCATGATATGCATTGTGGTGCTGCTGCATGATTGGCTGATTAAACAATTGCATGAATGAGTAGGTGTACCGGTGTTCCTAATAAAGTGCTTGGTGTGTGTATATATATATATATATATATATATATATATCGGGAGTCGGGATGTCTGCTGGACAGAAGGAAGTAGCTGGAAGACAGATGATGAAAAAGATTGAAAAGAGGAAGAGAGAAAGATAGGTCATATAGAGAAAAGAGAAAGAGAGAAAAGGGAGAAGTGGAAGAGAAAGAAAGAAAGACAGATGAAGAATGGTTAGAAAGCAGAGAAGGAGATGGACTGAGAGTTGTCCCAGGAGTCTGTTGCCTCTGAGAGTCCGTTCACTTTCCGGGAAGTAATGATTCTCAAATGTGTCTGTCACAAAGAGTGCGTGCGTGTGTGTGTGTGTGTGTGTGTGTGTGTGTGTGTGTGTGTGTGAATGAACTCCCACAGGCGGAAAAAGAGCAGAAGTAATTCTGGCTTTGATGGGTTTGATGCTTTTGGGCGAGTGGAGGGGTGATCCTTATATGTGTGAATATAAGTATAAGAGTCAGGAGTGTGTGTGTTTGTGTGTTTGGTGTTTGTGTGTAGAGGCGAGTGTAAGTCAGTATATGTACGTGAGGGTAAGAAGAATTTATGAGGATTAAATGTGGGCAGTGTGGCAAAAACTGTAACATTATGATGCTCAAAGTATTTTGTTTTTATACAGTTTGGTCAGTTGGAACAGACAACAAAGCCCCAGTAGTGCCACATCCATTAAAAATTAAGAGTGACAGGATCTGGATAGACTTTATCCAGATTCCATTCACTGTCACTATCGTGACCAGATCAGATCCAGTTTTACTCTCCTGCATAAAAGGCACATCAACACATACATTATTTCTCTTTTACTTCAGGTAACCTATTTAAACCATCGCTTCTCACCTTTTACTACCTGTTAACTGTTAGCCACTTTCATTGGCCCACAGTGCGAGAAGGCACTTAAAGACACGTTTCCTTGTTTATCCTCTCACTTTGTAGTCAGCGCTTGGGGGACACGTTTCTGCTTGTGTAACTGTATGTAGATGTAGCAAATGCATTCCAGTTTCACTTGTGTTGGACTACGAGCAATTCAGTGCTAATCCAGTCACAATTTTTGGGCTAACTTTTATTACCCTGTTTTTAACCCCAGTCTTCCAGACACAACACATGTCCAGTACTTTCTATTAGACACAGTTGCACTATAACATTATTTGCTCTCTGATGGGCCAAACGAGCATTTTAAATTCTTTAACAGAATCA